TTCTGAGAAGGACTAATGATTTCTGTGAAAGAAAAATACATCTGTAATAGCTCACTTTGCATTTAACAGAATCATCATGCTTGATGTTTTAAACTCTGCAAGCACTGTACTTTTATTCTTATCTCATTGCTAAATTTTGGTTGGAAACTAAAGAGCTAAAATTCTGAACTGCCCATCAGAAAACTGAACAATCAGGATTGACCTAATACTAGCCATAGTCTAACCAGGTTTCTGTCAGCTGTTAAAGAAAGGAAAACAGCAGCAGTTCTATGCCAAGACTCTTACCGAAGGAGTTGTGTACAACTACAACATTCAAGGTTAAATATTTGTAACTATGTCTATTACAAGCTTTAAATAAAAGAAGGAAGGTCTTTTACAATGATCGCATTTAATCTGGAATGGCCAAAAAATGTTCATATGAATCAATAACATAGCACTAGAATCCTATTGATGGGCTAGCAATAATTAGCATTATCATAAACAGGTTTTTTTCTCACTTCTGCCCAATTGAAAGTGTAGCTCTAACAGTCAAGGTTTGCCACTATTTAAATGATGTCCTACTTGGAGGGCCCTAAATACCGCCACACAATGATGTCCTACTTGGAGGGCCCTAAATACCGCCACATTTTTGTACGTAGTAAAAACAAAGGGGCTGAGGGCTAGTGTGCATATTCACTAGTGTGTATGTGGTGAAATTTCCCTGTTGTGGGACTAATAAGGGTCACTTAATTGTAATTAATAGTTAACTAGCCACAAAAAAACCTCTGAACTCATTTTTTCTACAAATGATAATGAATAAAATCCAAAAAGCTCATAGTCATACTCAAGCTTACACCATTTATAGCAAGAAAAGGCCCTGTTCATTATGTAGCATCCTACGGCAAACTTTACAGTAGTGTTCATTTTTCTAATATATCTGTGAAGAACAAGAAAGACAACATGAACATCTAATTGTTGCTCCTTTAGTTTGTTTTGATTGTGTCTTCACTCAGCTGGCATACTGGTCATGCACACCATGACCCCTCACAATTAGGAGAGATGAATGGAGGGGTGCACCACATACTCCAGGATGCAATCTGTTTCCTGCACAAACAGATGGACCCACAGTACTCATCCTACAGCAACCCTCCACTGCCCCCCCCCACCATTTCACCATGGTACTACATATGAATGTGCATATGTGCAGTAATCCACAAATCAGAGAGAGGGGGAGAGGAGATCAAATGGATGTTTGCTCTGGGTAACAGCCATGGCGTATTAAATTAAGAATGCTAATTTCACTCCATACAAAACTGCCTTTATATCATCATCATCATCATCATTTACATAACCATATGAAGATGGTCATCAAAGTGAATCTTGTCTGTGTGTGGTTAGGAGACAAATGCTAACATACATATTCAGGAATTCAGCTAAATGTGCACCCATTGCACTGTTGCATGTACAGCTTGTAAAAGCATTGCTAATAGAATAGGTTGCAGCCACATACGAGCCTAAGGTCACCATGCTCAAGGCCAAGTGTGGGCTGGAGGGGTATAAAGTCCAATACCTCTGGGATGAGTTGGAGTGTCCAGAACTGATCATCCAACATTAGTACCTGACCTGACCAGTGCTCTTGTGGCTGAATGCAATCAAATCCTCACAGCAATGTTCCAACACCTAGTGTAAAGTCAGAAGAGTAGAGGCTGTTACTTGAGCAAAGGAGGACAAACTCCTGCTTAATACCTTTGATTTCAGAAGAAACACTGGATAAGCAGGTGTCTACAAACTTTTTACCGTGTTATAAAGGCGTATATTATTCGCTGATCAATTGGAAAAAATGATAATTATTATTGATCTGACATTAGAATTAAAGATCATAATTACAACCAACAATTTAGCATTCTGTATTTAGTGCCCTAATGGTGGGTAGGGACTATGTAAAATTAATCAATTAATCAAAACTTAATCAATTAAGTATCTGTTTTAAAATGACAATAAATAAATAAATAACAGTTGATTATTCATATCAGAATTGGTCACAGAAAGGTGTTAAAGGGCCCATATTATATTATTATATTACATATTATGAAAAAAATTACCTCACTCTCCAAAAATAAAACAGTTTGGTGTAGAAAAGAAACATTAGTAAAGCTTCAAAAAGTACCACACTGTACTATTCAAAATGGCCCGGTTTGAATTCATTGCTGTGATGTCACAAAAAACCAACACATTTACATATATCCATCTATTCAGCCTCCAATAGTTTGGCTCTAGTTATATTGAGGTTATAACAAGTGTTTCAGTCCGGAAAACTATTTAAATGAGGCATAATACAGGATAACATCGGAACAGAGGTCATTTACATACATCAGTCTTAAAGGCAGAGTAACAAAACATATTTTGTTCTATGGGACAAAGAAAGGCTGGGAAATTGTCATGTAAAAATGAATTATGACTGTTTTTGGAACATAAAGCCACATAGACAGAATAAGAAGACCTCTGGGAAAAAATTAAAATGCAAGAAAAAAGTATATCGGCCCTTTAACTACTGCTTACTGTTATTGGCTCAAAACCTCTATACTGGTTCGTCCCTATATACGGTATCATTCATGCTACATGCCTGAATTCTTCTGTCCTACTTTTAAGAGGCTGAGAAATGGTGAGAAACCACAAATCGTTGTGCTGCTTTTCAGCTCTATTGTGCTGCCAAGAAGCGAAACAGTGAGAGCGCTGATCAGTATCAGTATGACAACCACAGAGCAGCAGTCTGTCTCTGAAGTGCCGCCTGGTGGAGCAGGTGTGCAAAAAGGCCTGTCAGTTTCATTACTGCATCGAAATAAACAAATTCTTTCCGAGTCCACCCCCCACCCCCTTTAAAAACAGTTGTAATTTTCATCATTGCAGTCATAACAGCATTGCTCTTACACAGGCGTGACGCTAGCAGCTGAGAGAGCTAATTACTTTGGCTTTAATTCCTGCCTTGTGGTTGTGGGGAAAAAATGAAAATCAGAAAATGATGTCTGAGCTGTGGGCAGCTGGAGTAGCTGAGGCAGCTGTGGTCGTGCTGAGGATGGCGTGAATTTCATTTGCGCGCCTGCCGCAGGCCATTAGCATGACAGCAGACAGAACACGTCAGAGAAGCAGCAAGATAGAAGATAATGCAGATCATAGAAAACAACAGCAACAATAGGGAAGCTGGATTTGAACCTGGATTTGAATTAGGATCACCATTCGAACATCTGAAATCCTCTGATATCATCTGATATGCCTTCAATCTGAAATGTGGTCAAATTCCTGGCAGATCATTTGAAAAAGAATTATTGTGCATAGATGAGTACAGTATATTATGTACTCTGCTGGGAAGAATACTTTAAAAAGGTAGTGATGGCTGAATACACTGTCCTCATTTCAGTAACATATTCCATTACAGTACACAATAAACATAATAAACATATTCTCATAGCACATATTTACAATATATATGACAAAACCGATTATCACATTGATTTATCAGTCTACTCAGGCTTTAGCAGAGCTCAGTAACACTGAGATTAATAACTGATTATCGCATTGATTTATCAGTCTACTCAGGCTTTAGCAGAGCTCAGTAACACTGAGATTAATAACATCATCACATTGATTTATCAGTCTACTCAGGCTTTAGCAGAGCTCAGTAACACTGAGATTAATAACTGATCGTCACATTGATTTATCAGTCTACTCAGGCTTTAGCAGAGCTCAGTAACACTGAGATTAATAACTGATCGTCACATTGATTTATCAGTCTACTTAGGATTTAGCAGAGTTCAGTAACACTAAGATTAATAACTGATCATCGCATTGATTTATCAGTCTACTCAGGCTTTAGCAGGAACTTCAGTGTTTGTAAAGAATAAAGAAGTTTATTGAGTTCATTTTTGACTATGTGATGACACACTGCATGTTGATTTAATAATAATAATAATTGTAATCATTATTAATTAATAATTATTATTTTTTAATGATTATACATACACACACATATACATGCCATAATATATATGTATATATATATATATATATATATATACAGGAAGCAATGAAAATGATCCACCATGCAAATAGTACCTGCTCAGTGATGGACCTGTGGAGTCCCTGGCCAGTGATCAGTGGAAATAAAGACAGCTAACAATTATACAGACTAACAGATGGACTACAATCTGTAACTGCAGAACTAAAAAATCTATATTTTATATATACACTTTTTAGTTCTGCAGTTCATATATTTGTGTTCCTTGAGTTTAGCTCATAGGCCTTTAAATCGGATCACCATATAACATCAAATGCCATCATACGTCCTCGCTAGTCCATTTTTCACTAAATATTTCATCAAATCTGAATGGAAGCAATTACTTGTTGAGTACAGATAGGCAGCAAGGTAGCAGCTAATGTAGCGCAAACAAAACAGTGAGAACAACATATGTTTGAATGGGAATATACACTTGCATCCCTTCTATAGAAGCTACATACTAGGAATACTATGCTACAAGTTGGCCCTTTGTAATCACTATTTGTGTTAGCATAAAGACAATAAAAGGGTTCCCTTTCAGGTCTACTAGCACAAGAGATATCATGACCTCCTCGCCCACTCTTAAACCACAGACACTTCTTCATTCGCCCACCTTCGCTGGCACATAGATCGCACTGATTGCTTTGGCAGACTGAGTCGAGCTTGGTGAGGAAAATCAATAGCAGTTAATTTAAAGCTTCAGTCAGACTTTTTGGTCTCTCTTGCTTTATAAATATGCATGGAACGTCTCCAAGAAGGCTTCTGGAACCATTAGGTCATTTAAGGCAAGCCGAATACAAAGAAACAAATGCATTTGGAGACCGCAAAGGGGTTGAACTTGTTCTGCTAAGGAAGATATATAGCACAACATGGTTTATGTCTCCATAACAGCTTGTTGCCAAGAAGAAAGCCTGTTACATTTGTTACCAATAACGATGCCAACAGAAAAATCAATGCTATCAGAGGGAGGCACTGTGGATCATTTTTTGTTTTATTATTTCACACATCAACAGTTAGCAAAGACATTATACCATTGGCACTCTTTCAACGACACTATACAAAATAAATAGATGAATACTGAGACATTCATCAATTGCACGTTTGGAGGAGCGGAGGTGGCTGGGGAAACACTATACAAACATACATACGTACAACCACACATACTGTCAACCACACGTTCACATGTACCACATACATACAGATGAGCTTCGGTGGCACTCTCATTTGATTGGCGAGTCTAGGATCTCTTGGTAATCCTGCCGAATAGCCCTGCCCACCCAGTAAAGCTTGATGCCGGTCAGGACGAACACACTAACCATGATCACCAAGGCGCCGAAGATGTCGTAAGCAGAGGGGATCATCCGCAGCACGATGAGCTGCAAGAACATGGCCACCACAATCTCCAGGTGTTGGACGGTGCTGACCAGGGCTGGATGGAACTTGTTGAGGGCGTAGTAGACGCCCAGGAATGCTACGGTGGAGCAGATGCAGATGCCAATAAGGTAGCCCCACGTCTCCCCGTCCAGGGGGATGATGGGCTCCTGCATGATGAACATGGTGGACGCCCCCCACACCGTCCCCGTCCAGCCGAAGGTGAACAGCGCCGTCCACATGCTGACCCGCTCCTTGATGGCCCGGTACACGATCATGGACAGGGCGGCGGTCAGGCCGGCCATGACCGTCATGGTGTAGCCGAAAGCCTCCTTCCAGAAGCCCAAGGCCGATTTCTCCTCATCCGCAATGTTGGGGATCATGACCAAGCACAGGCCGAAAAGGCTGCCCACTACAGTGACTATATCCGTGTAAGCTAGACGCTCATCCAGAAGCAAGAAGGCCAGAACGGCGCTGAAGACGGTGGTGGTGGCCCGCCACATGATTGTGCCATTACTGGGCGGGACGATGGCAAAAGAAGTGTAGGCGCATGTGATGGAGATGACGTTGCAGACGCCATAGAAGAAGAGGCGCAGCCGGTAGCCCTTCGGCCCAAACGGGGCCTCTTTGTAGTAGAGGACCACCAATATAGACAACACTTGGATTACGGAGCGGATAAATATGAGCTCTAAGGATGGCACTTTGGAGCGGTCGGCCGCGAGCCGGGTGATGAGGGCGACACAGCCGTGAGCTACTGCGGCCCCAAAAAGTGCCCCCCAGGTCACGCGGGACGCTAAAACCGAAGCCTCGCCGAAACTAGCCAGCTGGCTGCCGACACCCTTATCCCTCTGGTCTCCAGCCGACTTGGGCCGAGCATCCATCGTCCCAAACAAAGTCCTCCCGTGCCCAGTATCTGACACCAGCCTCCTGCTGGGGTTGTTGTCCATAAAGGAGCTAAAGTCCTCAAAAGAAGGGGCATCATCATAGCCCTCATCACCTGGTTGGGGGAAGTGTGTGGCGTATTTTACCGTGACCGTGTTGGGGTGGATTTTGACTCGTTTCTTCGATCCATACTGCTGACCACTCGAGGACGGATCCATGGTTGACCTCAGTTTGGGGACTGCAAAACAAAAATCCAAGTGTTTTTATTAGCTGAAAGGCAAAAAACAGAAATGTAGTGCATTCAAATATATATATATATATATATATATATATATATATATATATATATATATATATATATATATATATAAAACAATATACAATTATCTTAAACTTAAGGAATACAGCAATGTATACACTCACTGGCCACTTCATTAAGTTCACCTCCTTTCATGTACACTCCTTGTCCACTTTATCAGCTCCACTTACCAGTTAAGAGCACTTTGTAGTTTTACACTTACAGACTGTAATTGGTCTGAGACCCCTTTCACCCTGTTCTTCAATAGTCAGGACCCCCACAGGACCCCAACAACAGAGCAGGTGTTATTTGGGTGGTGGATCATTCTCAGCACTGCAGTGTTAGTGTGTGTTGTGCTGGTACAAGTGGATCAGACACAGATAAATAACAGAATGGGTGAAACGCTTCCCAACTAATTAGAATGTGTCATCAGAACCAATGGTTATATAAAATAAGGTACAGTGCAACATTCAACACCCACAATATTGACATTGTGGACACTTTGAAATTCCTCACTGCATTTCAATACAACAAGCTGCAGTTTAATGAGGCCCCAATTTTTTGGTTCCATTCAGATTCTTTTCGAACAGATGTTTGTACAGCTGTTTTAGTCTGTTATTGGCCTTCACCCTCATAGCTCATGCTAAAAGGATTCCAGAAATGAATGAAAACTGCTGCACCATTAAACAAAGTGCCATCAGAGAAGTTTTTCGAAGACAAAAATTCTCAAAATGCATAGCCGCCAAATCATCACTGTTATTAGAGATGACATTCAGAACTCAGCACATATTGCTGCTGTCAGAACATAACCTCATATCTCCAAAATGAGAACTTTACAGGAGAAGCAGAAAACATACTTCACTTTTAATGCAAGTCAATGGAACCAGAATTTTTTCCAAGTCATTCTGGGCCGTTTCTTTTGGTCTATTCATTATGCAACTTACATGCAATATAAAGGGCAACATGCATTTTCAAATTATGTCAAAAACTGAAAAATGACAAACTTGGAGATACGAGGTTTTCTTGTGAGAGCAGCAATATGTACATGCATTTTCTTATTTAGCATCTTTTTTCCTTGTGATATTATTGTAATCTATTACAAAATATGTGGTAATTATCATGATATTAAATTTGTATACTGGCCCATGTCCAATATATAATACAGTCTATTTAAATTTTAAACAATACTGACGACATACTGTTTAATATTTTTTTTTTCTAGAGCGGCTGCAGTACTTCGATCTTAACCCTCATAAATGAGCAACATTGACAATTTATCTTTTTTCAGTGACAGTTTTTTTTAAAGGATCAGCTGCACAACATGTATATAGTCTCATTTATGGAACAATGTTGAAAAAGACTCTCTAAATAGGAAATGGAAGCATATTTACAGCCAACACAAACTTGCTCTGAGGTTTCCCCAAATGCAGATGAAATCCTTACATAATTCATAACTCAATGCTTCAGTGCTCTCCTTTTCTCTCTCTCTCTCTCTCTCTCTCTCCTTCTCTCTCTCTTGCACTCTCTCTTTCATGTGTTTCTCACTCTCCCTCACTCTCTCCTTCGCTCATGTGCGAAGCAATTTCTATATTTAAGTGCGGTAGCGCCTGCTCAGATAAGCCATACAGTACAGTGAGTTTGATTCAGTGGGATGGGGGAAGGAATTATGTAACACTGGAAGTGGTGACAGGATTGCACAGCGAGGATGGAGAAAACACACAGAAATACTGCATCATTTTAAAGAATATCGCTTTAAACAATCTACACAGAGGATTACAGCTACTATTTGGAAATAATACATCAACAATTTGGTCCAGAAACTCGAGACTAGCCTTCAGGCTTCCAGATGAACGTGCAGATATGACCTCTCAATGGAAAGCTGGCTGCTTTCAGTGGGACCTGGTGGGCTTTCACTGCTCTGGTTTTGGTGAGATTTGTTTAGACAGCTAATAAAGCTGAAGCTGATTTCTTATATTCCAGCTGCTTATTCTGTGGCTCCACCATTTAAGGTGGAACAGGTAATTCGAACATGCTTCCACGAGAAAAGCTGGTGGAGAAAAGCTCTACCACCAGCTATGCAGATCGGACCACCAGGGGGCAGTAAAAGCCTCCTGTTGGCTCTCTTTCAGCCCCCCTCTCTATTATCATCTCCAAAAATGCACCAGGTTGTTGATGGCTGTGTGTTGACTGATAGCACTGTATGTTCCCTATCAAACACTCTTAGTTCTGCAGACTGAAAAGAGAGACGTGCAAATGGCTCCATGTAAGCCTCTCTAGCTGTGTGGGATTTCTTTCCTCGACTGAATCGAGCAATTCTTCAGGTTTCTTCATGTCAGAAGTGACCCATCAGAACGGGCACTACTTCTTTTTTATGCAAAAGAAACAACGCAACGTCTTCGACGAGCCGAGCACTTTAAAGGCTACTTACGTTGCAAAGGTACGCATTTGTTTAACATCCAGTTCCAGATGATCTGGTCACTCATGTTACTGATATGACACAGACTGATGGGTATAGTCATCATATTCACTGTCCTCATCTTCATTACTGTAATTTCTCACAGTGATAAATCTCCAGTAAATCTCAATGTTTCCCAGTATTTCCATGGTCATTCTGAGAGCCGGTGGGTTAAAGCTGACTACTTTTCTCAGCCTCTCCGCGCGCGCTTATCCTTATCTATTGCACGGTGCAGTTTTCTTGTTGCGTCTACCGAAACCCTCAGTGATCCCATCTGTCTGACCAAACTGCCGCTTTTCCTTCGTGCGCAGTTTTTCCTGCAAAGACAAATAATGTGCAATTTGTATGTGTGCGCGTGCGTGCGTACTCACCCCGCTGCTGTGCTGTTCAGCGCTGCTGGAGGCGCGTGAGGAGCTTCAACACACCGAGCAGCGCGCGAGCCATGCCGCCATTCTGCCCTCACACACACACTAACGCACACACACACAAAGAGAGAGAGAGAGAGAGAGAGAGAGAGAGAGAGAGAGAGAGAGAGAGAGAGACTGTGTGTGTTGTAAGAGAGAGAGAGAGAGAGAGAGAGGAGGGAGGGAGAGAGAAAGAAAGAGAGCTGAGCACTCAGTCACCTCCCCAAACAATAAATAAATAAATAAATAAATAAATAAATGAACGAACGAACACACACAGAGCAGTATTCAACGAAAATGTGCTTCATCATCAGTTTTATCATCTCTTCATCATAATCTTCATTTTCTTCATCTTCATTTTCAGCCAACTCCTCTTCATCATCGTCTTCATCGTCATCATGATCCTCTTCGCCGTTGCCTTCATCATCATCATCACCTTCTTTCTCTTCACATCCTCTTTCTCATCATGATCATCTTTATCATCTTCCTCTCCTCATTTTCATTACTTTCATCCTCATCATCTGTTCCATCAACATCTGCATCACCCTCATCATCGTCATCATCATCTGTTTGTTCATCATCCACATGATCTTCATCACCATAATAGTCATCGTCGTCGTCTTCATCATCATCATAGTCATCATCTTTATTATCTTCACCATCCCCATTTTCGTGATTATTATTGTCATCATAGTCTTCTTTACCAACTTCAACACCATCATCATCATCAGCAGCAGCAGCATTACCACCACCACCATCAGCAGCATCATCTTCATCACCACCATCATCATCTTCATCAACATAATCACTATCATCATCAACATTGTGATCTTCTTCATCATTGTTATGAAAACAATAATCATCCTCGTTGTCACCCTCCTCATTCTCAACCTAATCTTCATCGTCATCCTCATCATCATCACCATCATCATCTCCTTCTTCTTCTTCTTCTTCTTCTTTTCCTTCTTCAGCACTTCAGCATATTTATCATCGTAATCATCATCCTCCTCCTCATTATCATCATCATTATCATCATCATATCATCAGCATCTCTATTATCTTCACCGTCCTCAATTTCGTGATTATCATTGTCATCATGGCCTTCTTTACGTAATTCATCATCACCATCTTTATCATCATCATCATCATCATCATCATCAACATAACCACTGTCATCATCAACATCATGATCTTCCCCACTGTTATAAAAATACATCATCATCATCATCCTGATCATCAGCAGCAGCAACAGCAGCTTCACTGTCACCCTAATCATCACCATCATCACCATCATCATTGTCTTCAGCAGCAGCAGCTTCATTGTCACCCTAATCCATCATCATCATCATCATCATCATCATCATCCTGATCATCATCATCAGCAGCAGCAGCAGCAGCTTCACTGTCACCCTAATCATCACCATCATCACCATCATCATCGTCTTCAGCAGCAGCAGCTTCATTGTCACCCTAATCCATCATCATCATCATCATCATCATCATCATCATCATCTTGATCATCATCAGCAGCAGCAGCAGCAGCTTCACTGTCACCCTAATCATCACCATCATCACCATCATCATTGTCTTCAGCAGCAGCAGCTTCATTGTCACCCTAATCCATCATCATCATCATCATCATCATCATCATCTTCCTGAGTATATTCATCATTCCATCCCTATTCTTGTCATTATCTTCCTCATCATCTCTGAAGGTGTACATCTGAAAAGCATACAGTCATATAACTAATTTAAAGTGGATTTAGTACAAACCATTTCAGGCTCTCATTCAGAATCACTGTGCTTCACTGTTAAACATGATGAAAATGCACCATGAAGAATTCACAGCAGCCAGAGTGGAGCTGGACTGGCTGTTGTATCTGCTCTCACTGAGAACTCCAGCGTTTCATCATGACCCTCTGCAGGTGTTTCAGCACAGAAAACGTCTCAGCAGCTAAACAGCAAACTGTCTCAAAAGACATTTCAATTTGGAGGTCTCTCTCTCTCCTTCACTCTCTCTCTACCCCTCTCTCTCTTCCTCCCTCTCTCTCTCTCTACCTCTCTCTCTCTCTCTCCCTCTCTCTCTCTCCCACTCTCTCTCTCTCACCCTCCCTCTCTCTCACTCTCTGTCTCCCTCTCCATCTCTCTCTCTCTGTGCATCTTTTTCTCTGTCTCTCTCTCTCACTCTCTCTCTCTCATACTCTTTCTGTCTTATTATTGCCTCTGTCTCTCTGTTCTCTCTGTCTTTCCTTTCCCTCTTTTCCTCTCTCTGTTCGTCTGTCAGTAAAGGAATCCCCCATCTTTGTCTCTTTACACTTTCTCCCTTCTCTTTCCCTCTCTCTCTCTCTCTCTCTCTCTCTCTCTCTCTCCCTCATTCTGACTCTCTCTCTCTCTCTCTCTGTCTCTCTCTATTTTTTGTGTGGAAGTTGTGATTAGTATTCCAGTCAGGTGGGAGCATATGGCTGAGTAAGAGGGGGGCAGACGGAGAGGAGCTAAATTTTGACTCCTCAGTGTTTTCAGACCCCGGGACGTTAAAGCGGGTGGTCTGCGGTCCGACAGTCCAAATTTCACTGTCAGCTCTGAGCTAAAGCTCAGCTCCAGCTCATAACTCGGCAATCCAGAGCAGAAATCCCCTCATCAGCACTTTAATCTTTATTTATGGTCTTTATGCCCACAGTTCTCTCTGCTGCACTGATCAATCGGCTCATTTATTGATCGCTGCTGATGGATTAGTCTGTAAAGGCATGCAGTGAATTCATATAGACACTTAAAAACAAAGAGATGCCACAAAGGGTTCTCAGAGTGATGTCACTTTTGGGTTCCTGAAGAACCATGTTTTAAAAAGAGATTTGTGAACATGAAGAACATTTTAATGCTGAAAGAAACTTTGCATAATGTAGAGGTTCTACAAACTTTACAAAATGTGCCCCAAGTGGTTCTTTAAGCAATGCCACTAAAGAACCAACTTTTGTTCCATAAAAAAATATTTTAATGAATGGTTCTTAGAGAAGCATTTTTGTAAGTAAGATTTGTGAGCGTGAAGAACCTTTAAATGCTGAAAGAACCTCAACATAATGTGAATGTTCAAGGAAGAACTCATAAATGGTATAGAGGGTTTACATATGACTTATATGAAAAAAAAATCATATTTCTTCTCTTTTTGCAAACATGGTTCATCAGGGAACCAAAAGTGGTTCTCCCGAAGCATTTTTGTGGCACCTTCTTGTTAAAAGTGTAACCAATCTAAGAAACTTTACATTATGTGGAGGTTCTTTAAACTTCAAAAACATTCTTCACTCTTACATCTCATTTACAAAAAAAGTTCTGTAATGAGCCTTGCATCGAAAGGATTCTAGATTGGCAACCCAAATGTTAAGGAGATCCATTTTGTCCCGTCAACAAAAATCAAACCACCTTGGGAGCCACAACATTTTATGTCCATTTTACAATCTTGGGTATAAATATGTCTCAGTATGTGCTGATATAAAAAAATAATATAAACGAAAATGCAGACTTACTTTGCTCTGCTTTAAAATTTAACGTTAGCTTTTAGCTTTAAGTTATAGCTGCTTTTCTCGCATCTCCGGCAGGAAACTTTTCCTAAAAGTAGAACAGTTACTTCAAAAATGTCTCTCAACATTCAATTTTTATGAGGCTGAAGTCGCTTCTCATTCGCCAGCTTCTTGTTCGAAATTTCCTGTTCCACCTTAAATGGTGCCTGAGGCACCGGAATGTAATTGCTGCACCATTTAAGGTGGAACAGGACAATTCAAACAAGCATCTGGCGAATGAGAAGCTGACTTCAGCCTTGTGACTTTTTACTTGCAGATTAAACATATCAGGAAATAAGCTGAGTGCTCATAAGTGCAAATAAGTCCATTCGTCACCTAATTATCGCTGGTCATCTGAAATCTTGCTCTTTGCCTTTTCGTTAGCTACTAGCTAGGTGAGATTGTTGTCTGTGTTGCTATGGCAACCAGCAGCATGCGTGCCAGCCTTCAGGGTTAGCAGTTATACATTAACTCCAACATTTAAGACAGTTTATTGTTAAACTGTGTTGAACGATCAGCAGAGATTTATTTACTCCAAAGGATGATTATTTTTTTTTTACCTAAAAATCTAATCCTGCTGTGGAGCTGCAACAGGGCAGTAAAAGAGTCGCATGTTGCTGGACGCTGTACTATAACTTCGCATGCATTACCCTTTTTGGCAGCTTTTTTTCAGAGAGTGTAGATGATCCTGTTCTACAGCCATATGGCATGATGTGAAGTAATTATGTGGTAAAAAGAAGGGAATGAATGGGTTAAAACATCAAAGGTGTTATTTTTCTTTTTGAAGATTGTCTATGGACTCATTTCAAGTCTGTAAACAAAGCAGCTCTGGCCGCCCAGTTCGGTCATCTCTGCTGACCTCAATTCTGTCTGCCATTAGTCATTTACAGAGATCTGTGACAAAATACTACCCAAATGAATAAACATATGAAACACACTGAGGTCAAGAGGCTATGCTGCTGAAAAAAATGGTAAATTTACAGAAGAAGACAAAAATAGTCTTAAATTTTAATGTAAATGAATGCAAAGAGGTTTTTTATATATTGTATATTTCTCTTCAACATTCAGCTTCATGTTCATCAAAGCATCTTCCTTGGAGCAGATTTTACTTAAATAATGATTTCACAGTTTTCTTTTCCAAACTGTGGTCAAACGCCCAGACTGAAACTCTCCTGAGTGCTGATACGTGCTGATGTATGCGTACACAACATGTATGGACTTGTTTCCAAAGAAGCACTGTTGCTAATACTGGCACAAATATTTACATGTGTGATACTGCTTCTCTCCAAATCAGAGTTTCTTTCTTTCTTAAAAATGGTTCTATATAGAATCATGAACACTCAAAGAACCTTTTGCATGATTAAAGGGTTCTTTGCATCATGAAAGGGTTCTTAAGAATGTGCTGTAGATGATTCAATATAGAACCTTTCTGAAAAGGCTTCTAGATAGCACCAAAAAGAGTTGTATGTCAAGCTTGTACGAATAGAAGAACAATAGAAAAACCCTGCTATATTGAACCCTTTTTAAAATG